CATTTCTATAAATCGAAAGGAGACTGCGACCATACCAGAGGCCACAACATCTTGGTCTTCATATATTCAGTTAAACTATTTATGTTGATAAGCTGCAGTTTGTAGATAACCAAAGCATAATAATCCTGATTATGATAAGTCAAAGCAGCAAAGTGCAGATGCCCATGACAAGCCTACGAAAAAAATTATTTTCAAAGAAACTTATTTGCCTCAACCAGAAGTTACAGATGTATTTTTAATTTTCCCTAAAAGAGAATTCCAGCTAATTTTGAAATAGCTTCCATGGGATTATGATAGAATCGAATGAAATTATAAAACCGTTAGTTTTATTTACATATCCTCCATAAAGAAAAAAGAAATCTCTGCGACCTAGAGTGACTATAATACTTATTTAATATTTACTGATAGTTTCGACAACCTACTTTCGCTTAATTATTTTAAAAGACACCAACGATTAGGCAAGATGGTCCTGAAGGACTAGTCGTAAAGAAATCATATAAAGGAGTAATTTTTACTCTCCAGTTTCATCATGACTACATAACAAAGACCGGCATGATAAGAAGCATGAGTATCGGAAACCTAAGATATGGATTTCTGAGGAGAAGAATTCAAAAATATGAACGGATGTCATAAAGAAATCCTAAAAGGAAATATGTGCGTTGCAAAAATGGGGCGACACAATGAGGTTATAAAAAGGTAAACAGGAGTGAGAAGGCTTCTCAGGGGTGGATAGGCCTTACCTCTTGTAGACTTAGTCAAAAATGGTTATCGGTATTAGGCAAACGGAAAAATTGACTGATCAAGAAGGATAAGACTCTTCACAAGCTTGCCCAGACAGGATAGAAGAACAAGGTGGAAGAGCTGGATTGCCTGGGAATCTGTGGCACAACATGCAGCGAATGCGAATAGTTAAATGGGTGAAACAGGAATACAAATTAGCATACGAATTAAGGAATACCAAGGAGAAGCTGCAGTAAAAAAGACAGAAAGACACGAACTATATAACGCATTGTACCAACGGGATATCAGACCTATTGGAAGGTGATAGAAACTTGAGGTCTAATCATTTGAATGTGAGAAAATTCAAATAATAGCTCTTCATCCCTTTATACGAAATAGAATAAATACAGCTTTTATATATTATCTACTAGTAGTCTCGAAAAAAATGTCGTCCCTAACTTGAAAATATTTGAAACTAGGATTTTGTAGGTTAATGTGCCATATTTCTCGCCTTCAGCATGACACTTATTATCAAGCAGGATTGGAAGTACAGATCCAATTTAAATCTAACTGTAAAAGTAAACATAACCAGTGGTAATGCCCCAAACATCATCTAATTAAATATGCTTCTCCATAACTAAAACTAGGTCGCCCGTCAGTTTTGACATTCGATAAGGACACGGTGATTATGCCTAAGCAGACAACCTTTACTAAATCATTGCCCAGAATAATGTAAAAAGTTTCACTTTAATTGATCTAAGCACAGCTCCATTGACTTAGTTGAGCTTCGACATATAATTATATTCTGCTGAACCTTTAACAGACTTTAGGGTAAACTTATAAACCGTTTTGCCAAAGCTAGATTTTAAACGTTTACACTTCAAAGATATGAAGACCAAGATGGTCTGGCCTTTTGTGTGGTCGCAGTCTCCTTTCGTTGTATACAGGTTGTTTGACCTTGTTTTCGCAATATGGTCATATTGGTAGGAAGACTTATTGGAACGAACCTAGTCCGGGGTCCATTGTCTGCCTGATCATTTCCAAAGTTTAATCGTGGACGTGGAACATTCCCAAACGTCTCGCCGGCATCGTAGTCGGCATCGACAGTGAGTATCGCCATTCTTAGCATTACACAACAACTTGTCAAAGAGACAAGTGAAGCCGATCCTTTGACCAAACTTGTGCTAAACAATTGTGGTTGACGAGTTGTTGTGTGGTGCTAAGAATGGCGATACTCACTAACGATGCCGACTACGC